CTTCATAACTGGTCGCATATACTTGATTGCAAGCAACCAAAAATGCCGAAAAAAAGTTGCACTAAACATTTGCTTATACCTATCTAATTTCCTTCATGCAATTTTTCTAAGTTCACAAACACAGTCCAACTGATGAAGATTTCATGAAGCTTAAAAAAACCTTATTCGACGAACGCGAGAACTATCACTCAGTAATTTTCGTGAAATCTTCTTACATGTTAAATCGAAACTTTGATGAAAAATTTTGGACTAATGTTTTTTAAAACAATTCGTTATAATCAAATGATTGGTTCAAAACGAACAAAACTGTAATTAATTTTTTTTTCGATTACATCAAATTTCTACTTTTTATTAAAATATCCTTGATTTAGTAACATCTAAAAACTCACTTATCCATTTTGCAGAAGCATAGCCAGAAGCATAGGCAGGAAATTTTTAATGAGTAATTAATGTACATGATTATAACGGAATTAAGATCAACTTCAATTATTTTATTTCAAATTTGCCTCGTTGTCATTATACTGAAGCAAACTAAATTACTAAAAGCTCGGCAAAATTAAGGCAACGTAATTTACTGAAAACTTGGTAAACGCAGGTTAAAAGGCAGATATGGAAATTTAAAAAGGTCAAATCACAAATTGGACTTTACAGAGCTTGACAAATTGAACAACTCGGCCTTTTACAAAATTTATTTGAATTAAATAATCAAAGAGAAGATTACCAGAAAAAATATGAAGGTAAAAAAAACAGAGGTGGAACGAGCAGGTTCCATAAACAACAACCTTCAAACCGACTGATATCGAAAACCGTGAAAGATTTTCCCCATTTCCCATACCAGAGGAAAGAAAAAACCTAATTGTAGGGTCGAGTAAAGCAGCTCGAATAAAGATTGAAACACTCACTAATGACATTATAGTACTTTCATGCAGGGGCAGCACTACTGAAGAATTTAATGTTCTTAATCGGTATCCTTATAAAAATTAAATTGCGATATTGTCCGTAACGTGGCCAAATCTGTTTTTGAAAAAAATCTTTCCCACTTAATTAAATTCTTTAAAAATTTCAGCAAATTGTTGAGGTAATTACTAACAAAGTAAGCCCAGATTTGGTGGTTGTTTGCAAAATACCGCCAAAATTAGGTAAGCGTGATGCATCGATGAATTTAATAACGCAATTAAGGATCATTTTGGATCTAGAGCGGGTTTTGAGGTGCTCAAATTGAACTCGCTGATAAAAGAGTTTAGAAGCTTTACGGCTTTTATTCTGCGACAAGATGCACTTTCTTCAATTTCAAGGCTCATTTTTACCTTTATCTCGCTTTATAGAGCTGGTTTTTTGTCGTTTTCCCGCTAGTGTTTTCGTTTCTATCTTAAAATATTTAAATCATTAGTCGAAAATTTGTAACAGCAGATTTAAGCGCACATTGATAATGCCACGAATTGTTGTTTCTTAAGAGTCATGAACGTAGTGTATTCTTAAATAGGTCATGGTACTTAAGAGGCGATGAACGTTGTTTAGAGGATTATATACGTCGTGATCAGTATTTTTTTTTCGAGAAAATTTTTAAGATTTAATTTCTTCAGGCTCGAATTCACTTTTCCGTGGTTTGACTTTTGGTTTTTTTAAATTCAGTTTATTTCCTTTGTTAAAAGGAAGGCAAACACCACTATCGAACAGCAAAAGTGCATAGGTCGAACAACAAAAAGCCGATCATAAAATTTTTTAGAATTCAGAGAACTTAAAAGTTATTTGTTTTTCTTAAGTGAAATTCGAAAGTTGAGATTTCAAAAAACAAGGTGGTTTTTTTCTGTTCAATTGTGTTCATTGATTTTTTTTTCGAATTGTCTGTTTGCTATGTTTTTTCTTCAGGAAAGAGTCTTAGTATTTTTCACGCTCAAATTTGATGTTTAGTTGTTCGACTTGATTTTTTAATTTACTTCATTTCCTTTAATAAAACAAAATCAAACTCCTGTATCGAACAGCAGAAATTTTAAAGTCGCGATCAACTTGATCGGCTTCTAATTTCGAAAAAAAAGTCTTTTTCTGAATTTTCAGCGTAATTAAATGTTTATGTATTGATTCAGTTTTCTCAAATTGGGTTATTTTATCCAAAGAAAACAATCTCAAATTTTTCCTGAAAATCAAAGAGCTTCAAGGCCACTTATTTTTTCAGATTTTGAAAGTTGAGTTTTTTTCGAAAAAATGTCAGTAATTTTTTCTGTTTTCTTTAGTGACTCATTTCCATCTGCCTGCTAGCTATGGTTTTTGTAACTCACTAAAAAAATGTTTGTCTGGATAAGAAGAAATTTGCGCCCTCCAAGTGAAGAAATGGCTCGAGAACAGTCACTGGCTTTATGTTTTTGAGTTGGATTTTAGTTTTTATATATCCTTGCTTAATTCATCATTGACATACTGATCCAATTTTCTCAAAAAGATATCGTTTTGAAAAATTCTTGATAATCACAATCTGTAGGCGTTCTATTTGTTCCTTGATTATCTTGATTATTGGTTCAATTGTTTTTGCACAGTATGTTCGCTTTTTTCTGACCTCTTCGATTTCTGTTGGGCCATTTCTTGCTTGGCTTTTTGGCCAATGCCGGTGGTCGCTAGTTTAAGTTGTTTGCAAGAGGGTTAAAAAACATTCAACAATCATCTTGATCTTTTTTTAACGCGATTAATTTGATACTCAATATCTCTCAGAACTGTAAAATTAACTGGTATAACAGATGTCAACTTTTTGAGAAAACATACGCTCGAAATTTTTCCTCAGTTAATATTTTTTTCATCAAAATTAAACAATTTTATAACAATTTTACATTAGATTTAGCGAAAGCAAGAGATATCAACTAGATGAGCTGAAAGTATAAAAAAGCTCGCTAGTTTAATTTGCCTGGTTTATTGAAACTTATGGCCCACAAATTTTAATGACATTTTAGACAGCTAGGAGGAATCGTAACCACGCGACTGCGTTCACAACTAAGTCAAAGTATATAATTTTCTTCATCTGGACAAAATGGAAAAAATACTTGCTAATAACTAATCTCGGATAAGGTTCATTCGTTCACAAGGTCAAGTTGTTGTTTTTCTAGTAAAAGTCTGAAGAAGTATTCTCAATCAAATTTGTTTTGCTTATAGCAATCATGTTTTTTTAAAATCCACTCTTAATCAACTACCAACCTGAAAGCATTTTATAATCTTCAATAAAAAAAAGATGCGAAAAAGAGATTATTCAAACTCATAGAAAAAATCGTTTTGTGGAATTATTTTTTAGTTGTTTTATGCTTTCGGATTCCTTGAGGTCATTAACACTTTCCACAATTGCAATTAGCTAGCGTTATCAAATCGAAAAACAGACTAATTTCGGGTTATTCACTCGATTATTACAAGCAGTGAATATTTGCGGATATACTGATGGCTATGCTGATATGCGGCTGACATGCTTATTTTAATGAACATTCAAGTTATGCGTACTAAATCTTACTGCTTCCTGATAAATATAGAACGCAAACCATTGCGCTTATAAATTTGAATATCGATATTAATTTACTGCTGATGATTTGTTGGCTTCATGGTCGTCTTGAGCTCTGACGGTTTAGTTTTCCAAGTAGTACACTTTGCATACACAACTTAAATAGTTATTGTGGATTCTATGTGGTCACAACGTGCATTTTTGTTCTTTTAATTTTTTTTGGACAAAATTGTTCGGCTGAGTTTCAGCTTATTGACTGTGGGCTTTAATTATGTCGGCCTAATTACCGCCGATATTTTTTCCCAAAATAGCCGGTAGTACTCTTGAGGTCGATAAAACTCTGGCCCCGATGTTTGAACGCCCAAAATCAACCGCACTAGGAATCATTAATAATTTTTAAGAAATTACCTTGCGATAAGCAAGGATAGGGAAAACGGGCACAAGAATTTTTTCTGTAAATAACTTTAGGCACTAATTTTGCACGTAAAAATGTTACACGTCTTTTACTGGAGATGTAAATGCAGTGGTTGCATGTCAGGAATGGGCCTTGTGTGCCTGTTATCAGTTCCTATAAACGTATTTTTTTGTATAAATTGTTCGGTATTTTTTCCTTGTTTGAGTATTGGCTTCATTTCCGTCTGCTTATATTTCCAACGAGTTTTTTTTCAATTAATCTTTGTTTTCTTGTAAATTTTTTTCGTCTGTTCAATCAGCTGTTTTTTCATATTTTTTGGTGTAAGTAATTGAGTTTATGAGTTTTCTCATTTTTTTGCCTATTTTTCTGAAGTTTTTCTGCAGCAATTGAAAATATGAATTCATTGCTTCTCAGTCGATATTGTTTCAAAAAGTAGCTAATTCAATTGAAAAACAAAAGCCAGCAAATCAGCAATTATGAAATTCACAGTTTTCGATATTTTTAACCAAAATGGCTAGACGAATTCATCGTTTGCAATTTCATGTTAAATAGCTGTTTTCTAAGTTTCGTTATGCAGTTGTTGACTTTCTTCAATTTTGGTAGTTTCAACAAAACAAAAAACTAGTGAAATAGTTTTTTCTGTTATCTTTTTGCTTCATTATTTTTTTTCAGGTAGATGTCGTCATTTGTGCGAATTTTTGCTTCCTAATTTTTTAAATTTTTTTTCTACTGAAAAAAGTCCTTTAACAGAAAAAATGGCGTTCATAAATCATATATCTACGTATAACTTTTATTTTTACCGGATGATGATTTGGAAACTAATATCTTAAAATAGGTATACTTTAACTTGAGGGTTATGTTGAAAATTATCGCCTTTTTAGAAAAGATTTGATTACTTGAAAAACTCAAATAGGATGAAGGTGGTTGAAAGATTATTTGCCATCTATTCTCAGTGAAATAGATGAGAGGCTTCGATTTGAAGCCATGCAATTTCTATGAATATGGGCAGCGTTCAAATATACAATGGACATTTAAACTTTCTGTATATATTTTAATTCATTAATCTTGATTGTGTCTGTTTCAACTACTTAACACTAGCTTCGCAAACTCTTTAACCACGAACTTGAAATTCTTGGTTTATTACTTATTTGCATCAACTTGCTAAGCATCTACCAAGATTTATATTTATTAAACTTGTACTTGATTATTTGACTAAGTTCTGCAATGAACATTTATAGGCAAAATCGATTCCTAATGGTAAAATTTACTTAACTTCTTGCACAAATTGAGAAATAAAAATGGAACGTTCCTCATCAAGCGATGATTTATTGGGAAGTCGAACGTTAGTTGCCAAGGATTATGAATATCACGAAACGTTTCGAGGTCGATTTTTTTCTACTCGGTTCCGATTGGTTTTTATGGGCTTTCTCGGTTTTTTCCTAGTTTACTCCATGCGTGTGAACATAAGCGTAGCTTTAGTTGACATGACTTTGAAAGATACTTCTGAAGACAATCAAACTATAAATGAAAACTGCCCGGACCGGGATTCGAACTCGAGTTCTAACGACGGCGTTGACGGAACTTTCGATTGGTCAACAACTGAGCAAGCTAATGTACTTGGAGCTTTTTATTACGGATATATGGTAACTCAAATACCAGCTGGTTACTTGGCTTCCAAATATGGGGCAAAGCATTTGTTTGGACTGGGAGTGTTTTTCACTGGTGTTCTAACTATTTTCACTCCTCCGGTTTCATATTTAGGAGTCAATTGGTTGATCTTTCTCCGGGTTTTGGAAGGCGTGGCAGAAGCTGCAACCTTTCCAGCGTTTAGTCATTTAGTGAGTCGATGGTCTCCTAAAAACGAACGAAGTATGATGGCCGCTTTATCAGTTTCCGGTTCGAGTTTCGGCAATATGGCCACCCAACCTATAATCGGCTATTTGTGCACTCTTGACTTATGGAACGGATGGCCTTTGGGTTTCTATTGCAACGGTTTACTGGCCATTATTTGGTACGTCGCTTGGTGTCTAACAGTATTTGACTCGCCTGATAAACATCCTAGAATCTCTGAAAGCGAAAAACAGTTCATTAAACAGAATTCACAAGTGGACGAAACCAAATCACATGTGATTCCTTGGAAAGGAATCTTCACCAGTTTGCCGTTTTATGGAATTTTGATTGCAAATTTTTGCTCGGTATTTATTAACTATGGATTGATGTCTTTCTTGCCTCAATTTTTATCAAACGTTCTTAACTTTGACATCGCTACAAACGGTTTTCTTAGCGCCCTACCTTGGTTGAGCTGCTTCTTGGGAGCTATTTTTACTTCTCAAATAACCGACTTCCTACTGAGCCGAAAATATGTGTCGACCACGTTTATTCGCAAGTTTAATCAACTAGGCAGTTCGGTTTTATCTGGTTTGTTTTTAGTTTTAGCCGGATACGCTGGCTGTGATGCAACATTGGCGGTTGTTTGCATTTCAGTTGGTTTAATGTTCTACGGTATGAATTATTGTGGTTTTTATTGCAACAACATTGACATTGCTCCTCAATTTGCGGGCGTTATTTTCGGAATCACAAATACATTGGCAACAACTAGCGGATTCTTAGCTCCGATTATGGTGAATAAAATCACAGAGGATAATATCCACAGCTCAGAGTTATGGCTCCACGCTTTTTATGCCTTCGCGGCCATCGCTTGGTTCGGAGGCTTTGCTTTTCTATTGCTGGCTTCAGGAAATCTGCAGCCATGGGCCATTACTGAAGATATGTTGAAAGTAGAAACTCTGATAAACGCCAATGATTAGATCAGTGTTAACTATTTTATCTGTTTTTCTTTTCGGTTTATAATTTAGAATCCATAATTAAAACATAGTTTCACGAAATGACATAATTTTAAAAAAATCGTTTTTCACGTTAAAGTTAATCATTTTTTAATGTGATTTTCTGTTTTCCATCTGTAGTTCAGTTTATCAATAACAAAAGCTTGGTATTTGAATCGAATCTGATTTTATTCTGCTTCAATATTATCAAACACAATTTTTTTGAGAAAAACAATTTGCTTCAGAACATTGTGCGAAGTAGTGGAAATCAGGATGAACCTTTTTTGAACTGTCATTTGAAAGAATCGGAAAATATATGGCCTGACTAGACTTTTCCTTATCAAGTTAGCCACTTCAATGAAAAAATTCCCGTGATAAAATGTGCTATTTTTACCATGACTGGAATTTTTATTTAACAAAACATGGAAACTTTCCTCAGTATCGAAAAAAAACAAGACAGAATATTTCCGTTTTTCAGCATAAATGTGAGCAGAGGATTGGTGGATGATGTGTCAAATCTGCTTTAGAAATATGTTTCACCGTAGCTATCATCGTATGATCTGAGTCTGATTTGAACCCATTCCTGCAACCCTCGAAATTGCTTCAAAATGTTTTTTTTTCATTCTTTATTTTTTTGCATGATTAAGTGATTAAGTGTGATGGGAACATTCTGTTCTTTGCACAGCAAGCAGAGTTATTGCTGTTACATTTTAAAAAATTGTTGTTTTCAATTAAGATAAGAAATTTAAACTCCAATGCCTAATTTCCAAACTTACTTTAAATTTAAGTGTAAAACTTCGAACCTTGTACGTTGTATTGTTATCTTTTGTGGGAATACCCAGTATTTTTCAGTTTTTTTGGGATTACCGAGAATACCCTAACAAATTTTTTTAGATCAAAGTTTTTCAGTTAACGCAGATGTAAAGAAAACGTTATTTACGATTTTACTAAGTTTGATTTGAACTTTATGATCACTCCATAGTCTCAAACCAATAAAAACAAATTTTAGTTTTGCTAAGTGTTTTATATGTGCAGTAAGCAACTTAATTATAGCTGAAAAAAATTTTGCATTTTTCGTGAAGATTGTTATTCTCATAATTCTCCTAACTTTGTAGATCTTCTACAGAATCATTTGACCATCTTTCAAAACTTACGAATCAGAAACACGAAGTATGCGGGGATGCCAACATACATAGACTTGAGCAAAATTAACAACAAAAATTAAAAAACACTTTTCTTCTTATGAATCTACAGCTTATTGATATAAATCAAACAGCTAGATAAACCCACAAAATTTAAAATCATTGAATTTTTCTATGCAAAATTTGCAGGTCAATTTTATGTAAAACAAACAAACTCAAATGATCATTCTAACGTTGAGTTTACTTCAAACTTTTTAAATCATATAGAGGGTCACAGATCTTTAATCAGAGAGAAAAAAGTTTTCATCGTCCAAATATTAAACTAAACGACAAAAATGAGTGCCTGGACTTGAATTACTTTTGATACCGACAATTGGACCCCATTGCTACTAAATTTTTGTATTTAACATTAGCTCAGCTTTTGAAAAGTTTGAAAAAAAAAAACATTTAAAAAATCAGTTGCTGAATTTATAGCCATGCAACCAGTAAAATGAAATCAAAATGTTGAAACTAAGAACTGGATCCCACGCTAAAACCAAATGAGCGCTAAATAAAAGAATAGTTTTGAATCAAAAGATTACGAAACAGAAAAAATTAAGCTACAGGCAAATACATAATAAATTGAAGCAGGCGATCACTAAAACAAAACGACTTTCCCATGAAAAAAAATCTTACATGAAAAAAAGACCCTTATTTAAAGCAATTGATGAACTCAAAGAGCGAAAAGACGAGGAAAACGCCTAACTTTAATGCTAATGACCTGAATTTTTTTTGGGTTAATTTAGGCAAGAATCTAGCAATAAAATCTACCGGAACTCCTAATTTCCCACATGTGAAGCCAGTTCAAGCAACCATGGTTCTGGTTGAAACTAAAGAACATCAGCAATATAATGAATTGATAGAAAAAAAATTTTGCTAGAGAAAAAATCATCAAAAGACACTGAAGGCTTAATTAATATACTAACTCAGAAAATAAATCCTTCAAAATGTAGTCTTTTCGCTCAATTAGCAACGCAACTTGATGCTTTTTGGAACAAAGTTTCCCGAAAACTCCTAGAATGTTTAAAATTTTGCCAATTTCCAAAGCAGGAAAAACAGAATGCACAAGTTACAGACTATTGTTTTTGCTACATCTGTTGTCCTAAATTATAGAAAAAAAAACACTTAACAAATAGTTTAATCATTTTCTTGACAAAAACGCGCTGTAATTTGCAAAAACCCATTTAGATAAGAAAGCAACAGTAAACAGTTGATGCCGTATCGCAGGCTTCAGCTATCCTAAGAGAAACAATGGCCTCTAAAATGGATCTGTTATTGTTTTAATTGATCTCTCAAAAACGTTCGATACGGTTGAACAGAATTGATAAAATTACGGGCTGAGGGGACCACTATTAGAATTAATGAAATCCTACTCGCCAGAACCAATTTGTGATGTTGGGAGAAAAAAGAACCTGGAACAAAATTGATTAACTGACGGTTCCGCGGGGGTTATTTCTGGGACCATTTTAACCAATTTTGTATTTTTTTGACTTACCCAATGTATGTCAGCACAGTAAGGTGACAATGTTTGCTGACTTGTATAGTCAAGTTTCTCTAGGAAGACAAAACTTGAAGATGTGTCTAATTGATTTATTTACAAAACACTTGATATTTAACAAAACTAAGTCAAAATATATGAAGTTCTTGAAAACATCCTTTGATATCGATTTATTACTAAGAGGTCATGAACCTGAAAAACAGTAAGAAATCAAATACATGGGCATAATCTGGACAAAAAAAATTTGTACTAACCGCGTTTCTTAAAAAAGAAGGCAAAACTAAACCATTAGGCATAAGGGATCTACCAATTTCAAACCTTATTACTATCAAAACATTGTTGCTGTTGTGCTAAATTTTAATGGGGGCATTGAAAAAAGAATTAAAATGCAAATTTGTTTAATATTCTCATACACTGAAGAAGGGTTTCAGAGACATCACTCGACACGCAGCAATGTCTTTTAATTTCCCACGAATGGATAAGTAATACATAAAAATAAGTTATGTTTGTACTAAACACTCGAAGACGCATTTATTATTTGTTTTTTCGAATTTATTTCTGTCTTTTGTTTCGTTCAAAAGCTTCATTCAGTCAATTTGATTTTGGCTGATGCTGATTCGGCTTAGTTGTCTGGTTTTGCGTTGTTTGGAAAGAAATTTTGGTAGCACTCTTTGTTTTAAAGATGTTTTAAGCACTTTTTTAGTTGCGGCTCAACTGGCGTTTACCAAAGTTTTTTTGGCTTAGTTGCGGCTTATCATGATTTCATAAAATTAGGTAAGCGCCGACAATTGTGTTGGGGGATCGCTTAAATCCGTTACTCAGTTGCTGCGCCTATATGCAAAAAAAATGACAAAAGGTTCAAAACAAAATCCAAAAAAACTTAACAGATAGATTCAAAAACAGAATAAACAAATATTCCGATTCCAAAGTACACCAAAACCCCAGACAGTAATCTTTCATTAAAAAGATTAGGAATTTTTTTCTCTTAGTTTTTTTTAAATTATAAGCGTTCATTCGCCAGCTGTTAGTTCTGTTTTTCTTTGAAATTGCGCGAAATGACGCTCGTGTTTGAATTTGCTGTAAAGAAAAAAATTAAACTATCAGAAGTCTGGCCTCATGATTCATACATAAATACAAACATTCGAGACAATCATACAATTGAGCTCTATCAAGAACAAAATTTGGCATAACGTCAAGTAAGCACCCTCATATAAGCAATTAAGTTGCATCAAATGCAGTGAAACAAAAACAATAGTGCTTGGAGCTCAAAAACATCACAAACACACAATTTTTGTGTTTGGCGCTAGAAATAAAGCTATTGCACTGCATTAGTACTGATACTTTAAGTAGGGATTGGAGAAAAACCAGAAAAAGGCGCTGCCAAAACTTGACTTCAAAAAGCAAGAATAGGGCTTCAATCAAAACTGAGAAATTGTCTGTCTGAAATGAGCTTCGATGCAAATATGGCCCAATCCGAAGTGGGTACCCCTATACGGCTCAAGTTTTTATGAGATTGCCAAGTGAACTGTTTTCATTTGCCAAAAAACTAACATATGGGTAAAACTTTTTAAAAAAGTAGGTTCGGAATCAGTAAAAGTATCTACCCAGAAACTTAGTAGAATAACACTCGAAAAAGCAATGAAACTCGAAAAATTGTTCCGCAAAACAAGCAAGACAAACAACTATAATTCATACGCATTTCCAAAGTAATTTCTGCAAGACACAGAATGGGTTAGGATTCAATGTTTTTATGCAATCAAAAGAACAGAATTTTTAAAAATAATAATCACTGGAAAATTTTTACTATTCGGACAGTGTAAAATATGTAAAATATCATAATCTCAAAAATATGTATTCGGACAATGTAAAATATATAAAGAAAATGATATGTACCAAGAAGAACCAAATTTGGTGACTATTTTAGATCCGTATCCCTCAAATCGGTAAAGAACGTATCTTCTGTAATAGTGGTATAGGTTTTATTTTTACAATGCCTCCGGGTGAAATTAGAATAATTACCAACTCATTGAGCTTTTCACGTAGTTGTGGAGACATTATGATAACACTATGGGTAAATAATTTGGACAACACGTTGGAGCGTCAAAAATTACAAAACATTTGGACAACGCGCGTTGATTCGACAAAGATATTTTCGAAACTATTATGATTTGAAAATTAACTATATATTCAAAAAATTGAAGAAAATTATTGAAAAATGTTCTACACATTAGTTCAACTGAAGCCTTTTCATTGCAAATGTAAGAAGCAGAATTAAAAAAAAAGTATAAGTTTTTTCAGCGTAAAAT